CACGCAGACCTCTGCATTTTATTTGATTTTAAACAATTTTGGTGTGTGAAATATTTCAACGGTTTCAGATGAAACCGCTGAAGAAAATCCGAAAAATTGAAAATATCACACAAATGTTGCTACATTTTACTTAATTTCAGCCGCTTTGAAAATTACTATAATTTTTAAATAAATCTCTTTAAAATTGTATGAAAAAGCTGCCCGATTTCCACATTTTTTTACCAGATTTCAAGATTATGTTTTAAATCTTTCTAATAGTGTCAAAAGTTTACGTTAACTCGTTAAAACCCAAAAATATAATATAATCTTTATTTTATATAACAATTTAGTGGTTTTTGTTTTACTCGGTATGGTAAAATCTTGCAACAAATTTTTCAGCTCAAAATTCTCTTAATTCGGTGTTTTTCAGCTTTTTTTTAACATAATGTTGCGAAATAATTGCGTTTTTATGTGAACAACGTTCTGAAACGCTCGAAAAATTCAGAAATAATATAACTGTCGACGTGTTTTTTGATTTTTTGTTTGTTTCAGCGAAATCTCGAAATTTCGCCCAAATTTTGTGTTTTTCGGCTTATTTGCAATATCGGATTTTTCATGATTGCAAATTGTTTTTTTGTATTTAAAATGTTTTTAAGTTAATAAGAAATGTTCTATTCTTTTCTTTTGAACTAGTTATCTGAAACTTACCTGAAAATTTTACTGATCAAACATCCGGCCTGAAATTGATTATTATTTTCAGCAATTTGAATGTTTTTTTTTACACAATTGTTCATTGACCTGAGAGTTTAGTGGTGAGTTGGCACAACAAAGTAGGTTTGGAGATGTTTTAAAATAATTCTGTTTCCTGAAAAAAATGGTTTTCTAATCATTTTTTGTTATTTATTTCTTTAGTGAAATTTAAATTGACGTTATTATTAATGTTATGTCAAAAATAAATGTGACCGGGGTTATGAACCTCAGTCAAAAATATATTTTCGAAATTTACTGCTTTGGCAAAAAGTTGAATTCGAAATTATTTACGGGCTATCATTTGATGATTATTTTTTTTATTTCCAACTTTAAACAGTTTTGAAAAAATAAATGAAATTACTCACCTTATTTTAATTTTCTCATTACTCATAACGTAAACCCGCGATTTCATGAATGAAATTAGCGTTTGACCTGAAAAGTGCAAACTGAAAGATAAATTATTCGCTACAAAGTAAACGGTGAGAGATTCAGGATAAACAAGAATGTGTATTGCCCCTTAATAACCCTGACTGAAAATACAAAATTGGCGAATGAAATGTCTGATGTACAGTAATGAGATATTTAATGAATTAAGGATGCCGTTTCATTTTTTTGGCACGTCTTCTAAAGTGCATTTTATTTATTAACGGGAATAAATCAGGTTTGCTCTGACGCAGATCCCTTTTACGAGCTATTTTTAATTATTTTGCCTTATCACAAAACTTGTCAAAGAAAAATTTAACACTTTACACAAAAACATCATTGGAATTTTTCTGAAAATTGGTGAACTTTCTTTGGAAACGTTATGAAAGATTGGCGTTGACAAAAATGTGGCTTTGGCAGTTTTTCTTTAAAAATAACAAGATTCTGATATAAATGACTGCGTTCTCGGGGCGATAAAGTTTGTTAATTTATTCGAAAAACGACAGAAAATCTGTTTTTTGTGTTTTTTTTTCCTAATTTTATTTAGCTTCAACTAATTTTATAACTTTAAATGTAAGATTTATTAAATTTTTATTAAAAACCTTAATAATCCAGACAGCCGTGCAGTCTGAAACCACAAATTTATCTCACAACACCAACATTTTTAATATCCTTCAGTCCGAGATAAAAAAACAGCTAAAATTAATTCAATTGATTCACCGTTTCGTGCTGCTATCTAGTGAGCGCGCTTTCAGCACTTTTCAGGTGCTGCCGCTGCGGTTTCAGCCTGAACCACACTCCTGAAAGACATTGAACTAAAGCAATATTAAACGACAGATTGCGACATTGCATATTAAAGCAAAAGTTTGTTTTGGTATGAGGGAGGAAGTGTATTTCAGGACTAGCAGATGGCACTGTTGGTGTAATTTGGAACAATTATTTGGTTTTCGTTTTAATTGGTTGGTTTAGAAAAGAGATTTTTCAGATTGTTTCAGAAAGTAACAAATTTCAGCAATTTAGTGGTTTCGAGAGTCTGTTTTTAGTTTTTCAAAACCTTCAGAAATTTAATACTAAAATGAACGCCATCATATTTTGAAACAAAATGTGTAATTTTTAAGGTTTGTCAAGATTTTTCTTTTAAAAGAATTTATTTTTTTTCCAAAAAACACTTTTCAAATAAATCTGGTCTAAAACGTACATATTCTTAAAAAAATGAAAAATCTGCGTTTTAAAAAATAAATAACAACTACTGGTAGTAGTCTTTTATAATTGTACAAAAATTAATCTTTTTTTAAACATTTTGGATACATCTTACTCGATTTTCAGATTTCAGTTTTATTTCACTAATTTTTCATTATTGTTGCTTATTTTTCATGACAGCCCAAATTTCTTAATAAATATTTTTTTATTTGTCTAATATGTCACTGGTCTCTGCATTTTACTTAGTTTTAAACAATTTTGTTGTGTGAAAAAATATTTTACCGGTTTCACACGAAACCACTGAAAACAGATCCAAAAAATTAAAAATATTATAAAAAATTTGCTATATTTTATTGTTGTTTACACATATCCGGCCTGAAATTTATTATTTTCAGCAATTTGACTGTTTTTTTATAAAGTTGTTCATTGGTTGGTACACCGACTTCTGCATTTTACTTTGTTTTAAACAATTTTGTTGTGTGAAAAAAATATTTCACCGGTTTCAGGAAAAAAAAATTAAAAAGATCATAAAAAATTAAGTATTTTATTATAGCCTCTGAAAATTTTTCTAACTTTTAAATAAGTTTTTTTAAAATTGACTGAAAAAGTCGTCAGATTTCCACATTTGTTAAATCTTTCCAATAGTGTCAAAAGTTTACGGTTTTTTACAAATTTTTGTTTGATTCGGTGTGGCAAAATCTTGCAAAAAACAAACTTTTCAGCTCAAAACTCTCTTTATTCGGTGTTTTTCAGCTTTTTTTAACATAATTGTGCGAAATAATTGCGTTTTTAAGTGAAAAACGTTTTGAAATGCTCGAAAAATTCAAAAATAACATATTTGTCGACTTGTTTTTTTTTTATTGTTTTAGCGAAATCTCGCAAAAACCCTAAGATTTTATTATAAAAGCGTGCTTTAAAGCATTTTCGATCAAATTTTGTGTTTTTCGGCTTATTTACAATAACATAGTTTTTCTTATGATTGCAAATTGTTTTTTATTTAAAGTGTTTTTACGTTAATAAGAAATATTCTATTCTTTAGAAAAGTAAGTATAGCTTTGAACTAGTTACCTAAAACTTTCATGAAAATTTTACAAATATTTTTCTACTGCTTGATTACACATATCCGGTCTAAAATTTATTATTTTCAGCAATTTGACTGTTTTTTTATAAAGTTGTTCATTGGTTGGTACGCCGACTTCTGCATTTTACTTCGTTTTAAACAATTTTGTTGTGTGAAGAAGATATTTCACCGGTTTCAGGAAAACAAATCCAAAAAAATTTTAAAAATCATAAAAAATTTGCTAAAAATTATTTTATTTCAGCCTCTTTGAAGATTTCTCTAATTTTTAAATAAATCTTTTTAAAATTACACATTTTTTAAATTTTTCCAATAGTGTGAAAAGTTTACGGTTTTTTACAAATTTTTGTTTGACTCAGTGTGCTCAAAAATCTCCTAATTCGGTGATTTTTCAGCTCGTTTTTAATAATAAAACGTACTGAAACGCTCGAAAAATCTAAAAATAATATAATTGTCGACGTGTTTTTTATGATTTTTTTGTTTTGTTTCAGCGAAACCTTGAGATTCTGGTATAAAACCGTGTTTTAAAGCATTTTTGACCAAATATTTTTCAATCAACTATTTTCAATCAACTAAACAAAATCAAAAGTTATTCTTGTCGAACAAAAATGTAATATAAAAATACTTTAAATGCTTGGTTCAATAAAAATACTTTCACTTTATTGGAAAATTGCTGAAACACGCTCATGAACAAAATTTACTCGTGTGGAGGAAAACCACATTTTTCTTTTATCTGTCATAATTTCAGTTGATTGTAATTATCTAAAAATGCGTAAAATGTCAGTAACATGATTTAATAATTATATTTCTATAGACATTTATTTGGTTTGAAAGCACATTGTTTTATTTCAGCAAACCTGAAACGATTGGAATACTGAAAATGTGACAATAGTCAAATAAATTAGTTTTATTATTTTCTAAATCGTGACGCAATTGCAAAATATCGAAATGCATTAGATATTTTTTAAATTTTCATCAAAGAAAAATTTCAACACTTCATCATAGACTACCAGACGAGACAACGCCAACTAGCAAATTTTAAATATACACACACAAACATATCATTGGAATTTTTCTGAAAAATACACTTTCTTTGGAAACGTTATGAAAGATTGGCGTTGACAAAAATGTGGCTTTGGCAGTTTTTCGTTAAAAATAACAAGATTCTGGTATAAATGAGTCCGTTACAGTAAAAATATCTCTCAAGACGATAATAATAATAATTTTTGTGTTTTTACTGAATTTTTATTTAGCTTTTTAACTAGTTTTTTATCATCCAATAATCCGGGGAGGCGCGCAGTCTGAAACTACAAAATCATCTCAAAACAACAGACATATTTAATATCCTTCAGTTTCAGCTGAAAAACCCCACTGATTCGTGCTGCTCTCTAGCGCGTCGCGGCCTTTTCAGATATTTTCAGAGACGTGTTGGTGCTGCCGCTGTGGTTTCAGCCTGAACCCTCCTGAAAGACATTGAACTAAAACAGATTTGTGTAAACGACAGGTTGCGTCACAGCATATTAAAGCAAAAGTTTGTTTTGGTATGAAGTAGGAAGTGTATTTCAGGACAAGCAGATGGCACTGTTGGTGTAAATTTAGCTTGTTTTCTTTTCAATTTGCCAATGTGGGTCTTATTTCTAAATTGAGATTTTTCTGATTGTTTCAGGGAGTAAGTAACAAATTTCAGCAATTTAGTGGTATCGGGAGTCTATTTTTACGCAAAGTAAACTCCATAAAGCTTTCAGTACAAACACTACTAAACTCAATTTGATGGTTAACAAAAAAGATGTGTTTTATTATACTGACTGACAGTCCCGTGTCCAATAAAACTCGCATTAAAACGACCTAAAACTTTGGACTTTTACGTAAGCAAAAATAATTCATTTGGACACAATCGGAATAATTTTTCGCTCCCATGATTGCAAGTTTCACTTGAATTTATTTTGATTCAAAGAAATATTCTAGGTTGCGTCATTATACCACGCCAACGCTGAAATTTATACGCCACTGGTGGTCTTCAGTCAATTATTCGATTAGATCGACAAAAACAACGCTGAAAACTGAAAAATCAATTGGTGTTACCTGAAAATGCGTTAATAAAACTGAAATCTTGACCTAGTTGTGGGTAAATTGCTTGCGAAAAGTCGGAAATGTGTGAGAAGTATTGTCAAATTGTTCTAAAAGTAGTATCATGGTTGTGGTAACGTTTTTCAGCGTGCGTCTCTATAAATGCATCGATGTTGTCTATTTTTAGCCAAACATTTGATCCTCGCGCGTATTTCAGGAGGTTAATTTGCTGATTGTTGGGCAGCTCTTGGGGAATTTCAGGGCGCCTCCATGAACTTGAAATTTTGGCCTGAAAAAAGCCGAGTTCTGCGAAAGTTTATTCTATCGCTGTTGCTATATAATCTAATATTTATCTTTATTTTGCTAACTCTGTCTAGCTTAGTAGGTGTCTCTTGCCAAATGGGATATTTTTGTTTCCAAGTAGCCGCTACTTGCTCTGTCGCGTCAGTGTTGAGTGGCTAACCAAGTGGACGCGTGATGCCCAAAAACCCACAAAATGTACCATGACACAGCCCCAACAACTCACCCCAAAACCGCAAATTGTGCCAAGTGTGACAAGTGACCCCACCTGAAACCCCAAACAAAACCCCTAAAACGTGCGCTGAAACGATTTAAATATTTGCAGCCTACGCTGAAACCTGAAAGATGTTTGCCAAGAAAGAGGTACAGTTTTAGATTATAATCAACTATTTTATTGTTTATTAAAATTGATCAAACGATCAAAATGGCGCAAATTTAACCCGAAAATGGCGGAGCGCCCTCGCAAAACCCTAGGCAGGAGTGCCTCGACTGAAAGCACTGAATATTCCCTAACAATGGGCCGCTCAATCCGGGACAAGAAAAAGAAACCCAAAGAGCGGTGGCTTCTAACACGCAAAACTTGGAGGTACATGACGGACGCCGGCCGCAAACTCATCCCAGATGGGGCCCAAAACCGCCCCGAAGACATCCCCAAAATCGAAGCCTATTTTCAGGAAGTGTGCAAACGCGAACCCAAATTCCTCCTCTGGCGCAAAAACTCCTATCCGGGAGCTTTAAGCTTCCGGAAAAAAGCTCGGAGGAGTTGTCGGAAAGCTTCGTCCGCCGACAGTGTCGATCTTATCAAATTGGAGAGACCGAAAGATTTGGCTTTGCCAAGCACAAGTGGTGCTCGTTTCGACATKCAAAAAATGAAATATGAGTTTTTGAATAAACCCTCGCCAACACAGGAGGATTTGGAGGAGAAACAGCTCTTGACGATGCTGGAACAATACTTGACAATTCCAAACCAACCCAATTTTAATTATCAAGAATTGATCGATAAGTTGCAACGACATTTAACCCTTGCAAGTCGTAGTAATTACCCCACGTATCAAAATCAGGTCCTTTTTCACGGTGATCATGTCCAAAAATCCCTCTCAGAGACTTTGAGTCGGTATTTTGGGCAATGCACCAATCGTGATAAAGTCATTTCGGATCTACTCACTGATCGGAAAGCTCTCGAAAAGCTCTATTTCGACTTGAGGAAAGCTCGRGGTTTCAGGAGAAATGTTAGTTCGTCTGGGATTTGTTTGTCGAAATATTCGCAAAGCTCGAATTATGAGAAACTCCAGTCACACCCGCCGCCGTTGATTGAAATCGAGAATGAGTCTAGTAGTGTCATTTATCGCAGTTTTGGGACTCAGACGTTGCCAATTCCTGAGTCAATTCTCCTCGACGTTGAGGAGAAGTACAAGAAAGCTCAGTCTGAGCGCGAGGAGGAGGAAAAACGCGATTTGCGACCTGCAGGTCGTCGCCGAAGTAGCGTCGACAATGACGATATCTCGCAATCAGTCAGCGACACAATAAAGCGTTATTTGCGCATGGCGCGAAAAAAGAGCGTCGACACGGATAAAGTGGACCGTTTCAAACGAGTGAATTACGACAGAAACTTGCGGAACATCAAAGCCAAAGGAGAAATAACAAAACCAGGAGATGACGACGGACTAAATAAAGGTTGTCAAACCAACGACGATTGGATTGTTAAATATCGCGATTTGAAATTTGATGATTTTTCCGATTGTGAAAGTCGGTTTTCTAGTTCGCGTAGTAGTGTGGATGAGAACAATAAGTCCTCGCCTAGTTCACCACCTCCGACCAAATCCCATTCCTTCCTCAGTCATTTACTCCATAAACATGACAAAAGCAATGCTTCAGCGACCGGTGGTCCTGCCATGCAGAAGTCCAAGTCTTCGTCGAGTGTTATGCACCATGGGGGGCGACTCATGGCGAAGAAGATCTTCCGGTCGAGGTCCAAAAGTCAGACAAGGCCGAGTCAAGCCACTTGTAGTTGGACTCCACAGGTAATTTTTTTTGCATCAGCTCAAAAAACATAAAATTTACAAGATCCGAGTTGAAAATTTTGACATATTTTCACCAAATTACGATTTGTATGGCAAAGTCTCGCGAAGAAACACTCTTTTAAGCTTAGAAATCTGCTTGGATAAGGCAAAAATGTCATGCTTTTTGGCCTAATTCTGTGGTTTTTTGGCTTGTTTTCAACAAATTTTGCGAAATAATTACATTTCTAGTTAAAAAACGTGCTAAAACGTTCGAGAAATACAAAATAATATAATTTTCAACTTAATTTAGTTTGTTTTTAGCGAAATCTGGCGATTTTAGTACAAAAACCGCCTTAAAAACATTTTTGTGCTTTCTCTACTTATTTTTGTCTTATTTTGTCTAAAAACTTTTTTCAAAATTTCTGTGTTTTTATCTCTCAAGAAGACAAAAAACGCCGTTTTTAGATATTTTGTTGAATTTGTGGCTTGTTTTCAACAAAATTTTGCGAAATAATTGCGTTTCTAGCTGAAAAACGTGTTAAAACGTTCGAAAAATACAAAAATTATATAATTTTAGATTTAAATTAGTTTGTTTTAGCGAAATGTGGCGCAAAACATGAGATTTTAGTACAAAAACCTGCTTAAAAGCATTTTTGACCAAATTTCGTGTTTTCTCGTCTTATTTTGCCCAATTTTTTTTGTAAACTGTCTGTGTTTTTATCTCTTAAGAAGACAAAAAACGCCGTTTTTTGGATATGTTGTTGAATTTGTGGCTTGTTTTCAACAAAATTTTGCGAAATAATTGCGTTTCTAGTTGAAAAACGTGTTAAAACGCTCGAAAAATACAAAAATAATTTAATTTTCGACTTAATGTAGTTTGTTTTAGCGAAATCTGGCGCAAGACCTGAGATTTTAGTACAAAAACTGGCTTATAAGCATTTTTCACCAACTCTTGTGTTTTTTGGGCTTATATTTGTCTTATTTTGCTCAAAAACTTTCAAGAAGACAAAAAATGCCGGTTTTTTTGGATATTGTATTGAATTTGTGGCTTGTTTTCAATAAAATTTTGCGAAATAATTTCGTTTCTAGTTGAAAAACGTGATAAAACGCTCGAAAAATACAAAAATAATATAATTTTCGACTTAATGTAGTTTGTTTGAAAAACAAACAAAGTTTGTACAAAAACTGGCTTATAAGCATTTTTGACCAAATCTTCCGTTTTCTGGGTTTATTTTTGTCTTATTTTGCTCAAAAACTTATTTAGAACTTTCAGTGTTTTTATCATATAAGAAGACAAAAAATGCCGTTTTTTTGGATATTTTGTTGAATTTGTAGCTTGTTTTCAACAAAATTTTGCGAAATAATAGCGTTTCTAGCTGAAAAATGTGTTAAAACGCTCGAAAAATACAAAAATTATATGCTTTTAGACTTAAATTACTTTGTTTAAGCGAAATCTGGCGCAAAACCTGAGATTTTAGTACAAAAACCGGCTTAAAAGAATTTTTGATCAAATTTTGTGTTTTCTCGGCTTATTTTTGTCTTAATTTGCCCAAAAACTTTTTTTCAAACTTTCTGTGTTTTTATCTCTCAAGAAGACAAAAAACGCCGTTTTTTGGGCTATTTTGTTAAATTTGTAACCTGTTTTTGACAAAATTTTGCAAAATAATTGTGTTTCTAGCTGAAAAAGCATTCAAAAAAACCAAAATAATATGGCATTTTCGACTCTGTTTAGTAATATCTTGTAAAAAACAAATAGAACTATTTTTAACCAATTTGGTGGTTTTCGATTTTTTTTTTCGAGAAAATTTGACGAAATAATCAAGTTAAAGCCTAAGAGTTAAGTAAAAATATCATAAGATAATCTTTTTTTTATAAGAATTTAGTGATTGTTAACACGCTGGGACAAACTTTCCTGAAAAAATAGAGTTTTCACCTTAAAAATGTCTTGAACTTTCGAAAAACCATAAATATAATTATATCATTTTTGACCTAATTCTGCGTTTTTTTGGCTTGTTTTTAACAAAATTTTGAAAAATAATTGCGTTTCTAGCTGAAAAATGTGCTAAAACTCCCAAGAAATGTAACTTTCGACTTAAATTATTGATTTTTGTCATTTTTAAGTGTGTTTAGACAAGATTTGGCCAAATAAGTGAGCCTCTAGTACAGAAATGAAGTAAGTTCAGCGAAACAAGCTCTAAAAATAATAGCGTGTAATTTTTTTGCTTGCTTTAAGAAAGTTTACAGAATTTTTGTTTTTTGTATATCAAAAACGCGCTTAAGCATTTGTCTTATTTTGGCCAAAAACTTTTTTTCAAACTTGTTGTGTTTTTATCTCTCAAGAAAACAAAAAAAGCCGTTTTTTGGGCTAATTTGTAGCTTGTTTTTGACAAAATTTTGCAAAATAATTATGTTTCTAGCTAAAAAAGCATTCGAATATAACAAAAATAAGATGTCATTTTCTTTGTTTAGTAATATCTTGTAAAAAACAAATAAAACTATTTTAAGCCGATTTGATGATTTTCGATTATTTTTTTTTAATTTTACGAAATAATCAAATTAAAGCTTAAGAGTTAGGTAAAAATGTTATAACATATTCTTTTTTTATAACACTCTGAGAAAAAAAACAGACTTTTCACCTTAAAAATCTTTTAACTTTTGATAAAAGAAAAATTATATCATTTTCGGCCTAATTCTGTATTTGTTTGTTTTGTTTTTAACAAAATTTTGCGAAATAATTGCGTTTCTAGCTAAAAAACGTGCTAAAACGCTCGAAAAATATTATTTTATTTTTAAAACAATAATAATTTTTATTTTATTTTTGTTTTAGCGAAGACAAAAACTCCGTTTTTGGGCTACTTTGTTGAATTTGTGGCTTATTTTTGACAAAATTCTGCAAAATAGTTGTGTTTCTAGCTGAAAAAGCATTCGAGTATCTATAACAAAAATAAGTTGTTATATGTTTCTCTGTTTAGTAATATCTTGTAAAAAGGAAATATAACTATTTTTAACCGATTTGGTGGTTTTCGTTAATTTTTTTTTTAATTTTACAAAATAATCAAATTAAAGCTTAAGAGTTAAAAATATCATAACATATTCTTTTTTTTATAACACGCTGTAACAAACTCTGAAAACACAGACTGAACTTTCGAAAAATGATGAATATAGTTATATCATTTTCGGCCTAATTCTGCGTTTTTTGGCTTGTTTTTTACAAAACTTTGCGAAATAATTGAAAAATCTGAGATTTTAGTACAAAAAACGGGCTTAAAAGAATTTTTGACCAAATTTTGGGTTTTCTCTCTTTATTTTTGTCTTATTTACTCAAAAACTTTTCTTTCGAGCTGTTTGTGTTTCTCTCTCTCAAGAAGACAAAAAACGCCGTTTTTGGTCGAATTTGTTAAATTTTTGGATTGATTTTAATAAAATTTTGCGACATGATTATGTTTCTAGTATCTTCTTGTAAAAAAACAAACATAACTATTTTGAGCAATTTGGTGGTTCTTCGACTTTTTTGAAAAATTTTGACGAAATAATCAAGTTTCCGGTTCAAAACGTGGAAAATGCTTGAAAAACGGTTTTTTCATTTCCAAAAAATCACCAGATTTTAGAATTTTTGCAAAAAAAATGTTGCCTTGAAATTTTTCAGGGTGGGTGTGTTTGGAGTAATCTGGCGGGGCGACAGGTCGTGCTTGGGTCAACTTCCCTCCTCCATCTCACCGACATTGAACGAAAAGTCCTCCAGAAAGTGGCTTTGGCGAAGTTGCAAGCCCTCAATTTGGGCGTTGCCATCAAAGTTCCAACAGGTATTTTTCAGACCCGAATCCTGAAAAAGTTGCATTGTGTGGCTTGGTTAAACACAAAGCGCTGTATTGTTTACAGGAGTGGTTATTTTTGCGCCGTAACCCAATCTTGTATATTTTCTCAATTCATGTAATGCAAAAATTGCAGAGTCCGTGGGCGGAGTTGTGAGCAAGCCGAAGAGGAGGCCCTACTTGTTGAAGCGGAAGGCGTTGACCACCGGAATTTTCGACACAAATCGCAAGGAGGGCGACAAGGGTGAGAAATCAAATCTTTGTTTAAATGGGCTAAATTTAGCTTCCCGTCTATTTATGTATCGAAATTCCGCATGTCAAATATGAAATGCTCCGTCAAAACGTTACGAAAATATGCAAAATGTGTGTGTGTGTGTGTGTGATTTTTCGCAAGCGGCGCCTGAAGTTTGTTTGCACATTCTGTTTTATAACTTTTACCACTTGGATGTTTATCTTGGATTTCGACGAATTAAACATTTTAAACGGCTCGGAGAAGTACCTGTTGCTTAAGAAACGAATGACTGTTTACGCATTTCAGATATATAAATTACCCCTATTTGCTATTTTTGAACGGGATTCTCATGTAATAAAACGGATTCCTCCGGAACAACCAACATTTGGGATTATTTCAGGGTTGTCAGCTCAAAAAATTAAGTTTGCCAAGTCTGAACTGAAAAATCTGATCAAAAAAGTAACACTGTGTTCTAGGTTTTTTAAAGTTTTATGTAGAAAATATTTGCGGTTTCGATAGTACGGGTTTTACACATTTTTCTATAAAACATTCTTGATTTGACCACCGTTTCTAATTTTTAATCAAATTTTGGGAAATATTTACGTCTTTACTTGAAAAAAAATGTTAAAACATTTGATAAAGAATAGATTTAAGCTTTTTTGGTACGTTTTTTCAAAACCTTGCAAAAAACTGAGATTTTAATTCACAAACGTGCCTAAAACTTAAGAAGGTAAAATAACACCATTTTCAACCAAATATTGTGTTTTTCGTACAATTCTTTGTCAACATTCCACCCCAAAACGAGTTAAATTTCGAGGTATTTTTGTAACTTTTAGACTTGTTTTAAAAATATTCTGAAAAATAAAAAAGTTTGTGGTTCAAAAATGAAGTAAATCGAGCGAAACATGCTAAAATATTATCACTTTTAATCTAATTTGGTAATTTGTCAGTCAGTATTAGCAAAAATTTGTATGTAACTTAAAAACGTGTTTAAAATACAGAAATAATACTAGTTTTGCTTAATTTGATAAAATTTTCGGTTTTATTTTAAAGAAATTTTGCAAAATAGTTCTGTTTTTGGTTGAAAAACGTACAAAACCGCTTCGAAAAAAGCGAGTTGTTGAGTGAAATCTTGTAATAAAAATGTTTCTTTACTGTTTTTTTTTTTGACAAAATATTTACGTCTTTATTTCAAAAATATGCGAAAACAGACAAAAATAATGACTTGATTTAGGCTCTTTTGGTTCTTTTTTTGCAAAATCTTGCAAAAAACAGTGATTTTAGTTGACAAACTTAAAAAATTAAATAATACCATTTTCGACAAAATTTTGTGTTTTACGTACAATTTTTGGTCAAAATTTTACTCAAAAACGAGTTAAACTGAATGAAACAAACGAGATAACATCCATTTAGAGATATTTTTGTAACTTTTAGATTTGTTTTGAAAATTTCCTGAAAAATAAAAGAGTCTCTGGTTCAAAAACGAAGTAAATGGAGCGAAACATAATAATATTAATTTTAATCTAATTTCGTTATTTTTCAGCCAGTATTAGCAAAAATTTGTATGGATTTAAAAAAAAGTTCTTAAACACTCTGAAAATGCAGAAATAACACTAGTTCTGCTTAATTTGGTAAATTTTTCGGTTTCATTTTAAAGAGATTTTGCAAAATAGTTCTGTTTCTGAAAAACAGTACTAAAACTAAAAAAAACAAAATATTTTATTTTGTAACTATTTTTTGACTTTGTTAGTGAAATCTCATTATAAAAATGTTTCTTTTCTGTTTTTTTTTTATAAAATACTTGCGAATCAAAGAGTGTGAGCTCTACACGAAGGGCGAGCGGCAATGCCGCGAGCCCCCATAATTTCTACAAAACATTTTGATTTGACCACCGTTTTTTGTTTTTAACTAAATTTTGCAAATTACTTACGCTTTTACTTCAAAAGACGCTAAAACAGACAAAAATAATGACTTGGTTTAGCTTTTTTGTTTTTTTCTGGCAAAATCTTGCAAAAACAGTGGTTTTAGTTTACAAACTTAAAAAAGCAAAGCAACACCATTTTAGACCAAATTTTGTGTTTTTTGTACAATTCTTGGTCGAAATTTTACTCAAAAACGAGTTAAATTGAATGAAACAAACAATATAACATCCATTTAGAGGCATTTTGGTAACTTTTAGACTTGTTTTGAAAATTTCCTAGTTCAAAAAGGAAATAAAAAATAATATTAATTTTATTCTAATTTCATAATTTTTTAGTCAGAATTCAAAACGTGTCTAAACACACTAAAAATGCAGAAATAACACTAGTTTTGCTTAGCTTTATAAAATGTTCGGTTTGATTTTAAAGAAATTTTGCAAAATAGTTTTGTTTCTGGCTGTAAAACGTACTAAACCGCTTTGAAAAAAAAACAAAATAATGTATTCTGTGACGATTTTTTGTCCTTGTTGAGTGAAATTTCATAATAAAAATGTTTCTTTTCTGTGTTTTTTTGACAAAATATTTGCGAATCAAAGAGTGTGAGTTCGACACGAAGGGCGAGCGGCAATGCCGCGAGGCCCCATAATTTCTACAGAATATTTTGATTTGACCACTGTTTCTTATTTTTAACTAGATTTTTCAAAATATTTACGTTTTTAACTGAAAATTATGCTGAAACACTTGATTCGTTTTAGCAAAATTTTGCAAAAAACTGAGATTTTAGAATTTTAGTTCAAACACAAACGTAACAAAATTTCGTGTTTTGCCTCTTATTTTTTGTCAAAATTTCACTCAAAAACAAGCTAAATCAAATGAAACAAACAAAATAACACCAATTTAGATTAATTTTGGTACTTTTTAGACATGTTTAGAAAATTCATGGAAAATAAATGAGCCTCTGGTTCAAAAACAAACTAAATCGAGTGCAATAAGCTAAAATAAAATCAGTTTCAATCTAATTTGGTAAATTTTTGGTTTGTTTTGAACGAAATTTTGCAAAATCTTTCTGTTTCTGGCTAAAAAAACGTACTAAAATTCTCTGAAAAAGACCAAAACTATATATTGTTTGACACTAATTAAAAAATCAAATTAAAAAGTAAGTTTGGGTAAATACTCCATTAAAGAAATAATTTCAAAATATGTTAATTTTCTGCTGTAGTTGCAGTTTTATTTCTAAAAAATCACCAGAATTTTTACGAAAGTTTTGGTGAAATTTCACCAGACTTGACAACACTGAATTATTTTCTTACCACAGTCACTACCAACGAGTGATGTGTGATTTGGCAATAAATCACACTCCTGCTGAAATTACTATTCCATTGTACTCGCCTGAAAAACTTTCCTGAAATGTTTCAGATTGTTTATGTTTTGGCAAAAAATAAAAACATTTTTTTATTGTGATTCACATTCCTAACATTCAGGTTAATAATATCTATGAGCTTCGATAATATCCACGGAATTTGTTCAGATTTTTTCAGAATATTAAAACTCAAGATACACATTTTGTATCAGCGTTGAAACTGAAACGACTGCAATAAATGCTAAAAATGGCGTAATTTCAGAAACGCGAGCTTTTTTACAACCACAGATCTCGATCATAAAATTAGCTTTCATTACAATGAGATTTATTTGTGCAAAAGAGTCACACGTTGATGGATTTATGGCGGTTATGACAGCCCATTATTTATACAAGGTGCGCCAGAACTTGCGCCCCAAAGAAAAATGTAAAATTTCGAAGTTATGAGAGTTTAAATTTGCACTTTGACTCTATATTTATTTCTGTTAGAAAAATAATTTTTCAAGTTTATTTTGCTACAGGCTATTGGAAGGGGAAACAAGGAAGCTGTATCCTAAATTGTAATTCGTTTATTGTTATTTGTGGCTTTTATAGGCAAAATTTTTGTATCTTTTCTAAATAATTATAAAAAAATATACAATGTGTCCCAGCGAGTTGAGAAAGTCCATTAGTGACCTTTAAATGGTAAAATTACAAAAAAAAAATATAAAGGACATTGATAGATACTAATCTAGTGCATCACCTAAAATTATTTTCAACTATACAGCGTGTTTCAGAAATAAGTTTCTATTGTAACAGAATAATCGAATTTTTTACTAATTGAGCAAACCAGGAAAAAATTGTGTCAATTTTGATTTACTTAGTTAAATTTTCAGCTTCTTTGAGGAAATCTTGAGAAATAAATGAGTTTCTTTCTCATAAACGATCTAAATTTTTAAGAAGAGTATAAAATAATGTTACTTTTGTTCCACTTAGTCGTGTTTTGGCTTTTTTGTAGTTTTTGTAGCATTTCTCGAAGAAATTTTACTAAATAAATAAATGTCTGGGTCTTAAACGAGCTAAATTTTCCGAAATAGTCTCAGATAACGTTAACTTCGATCGACTTTAATTATTTTTAGCCTTATTTTGACAAAATTTTGCAAAAAGTGTTCTTTGGTCAAAAAATAACTCAACGAAAAAAACCAAAAAAGTGTAAATTTTATCTAGATTGGTCGGTCTATTTTGACAAAATAAGTAAGTCGCTGATTCAAAAACGAGTAAATTTATCAAAACCAAGGCCAAACAACATCAATTTAGTTATTTTAAGACCAACTTTGACACTTTACGAAATAAGTAAATTTCGATCAAAGATAATTTTTTGTCTTGTCTTGGAAAAATCTCTCGTTATTTGGTTCTATTCAAACAAATTTGCGTTTTTTACGAAATTTTAGCTAAAAAAAACATCGAAAATGTACATTATTGTTCTGGCTTTTTTTTAACGATTTTTTACTATATTGAGCCAAAAACATTATTTTGATTACAATTGGCTGTTTTTGATTTATTTGAGGGAAATTTTTTTGTTTCCGAAGATTTTGTCGTAAGAATCCGGAATTACTTTCAAATTGACGTTATTTTGACTTTTCTCAAGCGATTTTGCTTTTATAAACTTTTTTATTTTCTGAAAAGTCCAAAAACCGCTTCGATGATTATAGTTTCAGACTATTTAAAAAACAGTAAAAAAGCTGTTTTTGAACCAAGGACTTACTTATTTTTAAAAATTTTGTCAAAAGTAGCCAAAATATTACAAAATTAGGTCTAAATACATAAACCACTTTTGTATTTTTTACTGTTATTTATTGATTTTTTTCTTTTGTACTACACCAAAATTTATAACGTTTTCAAATGTTCTAAATATTAAATACATTAAAGTCAGCAAAAATAGGGAAGAAGAAATCGTTTTTTTTGTGTTAAACCAACATTCAGGCTGTCCCAGAGAGTTGAAAAAGTCCTAAAATCGCCTAAAATTATTTTCAACTATACAGCGTGTCTCAAAAATAAGTTACAATACAAACTTATGTTTTTTTTTAAATGAAACACCATAATTAATTTAATTAATTAATTTTTAGACATGTTTTGACAATTGTATATAGCATTTTTGTTCTTCATTGATTAAGAGTTTCATTTTTATTTATATTAGTACAATCTAAAAGTGTCAGATGAAATGGTTTAAAAAATTTCTAGACTTGCAAAAAAATATTTAAAAATATCTTAAAGAAATGCTTAAATTTAAAAAAATGTCATTCGAGACGTTTCAAAACATCGTGCTAGACTTTATTACTGTCAATCAACGCAGACGACGCATTGGATATAAAAAGTGTCAAATGTCAAAAAATAAAATTTTTTGAGAGAGAATTTTTCAAGTTCCTTGTATCTTATCTTACTTGAAACTGGGATTTTAATTCAAAAACGTGCCTAAAGACTTAAAAAGGTAAAGTTACCATTTTCGCCCAAACTTCGAGTTTTTTGTATTATTTTTTTACCAAAAACGGGTGAAATCAAATAAAACAAACGAAATAACATTAATTTAGATTTAATCTTGTAATTTTTAGACTGGTTTGTGACAATTTCCTGCAAAATAAATGAGTCTCTGGTTCGAAAACCAACTAAACCAAGCGAAACAAGCTAAAATAATATCAATTTCAATATAATTTGGTAATTTTTAATTCAGTTTTAGCAAAAATTTGTATTTTAAAAACATTTTTACACTTTAAAAATGCATAAATAACACTAGTTTTGGCCTATGCTCCGAAAAAAGCCAAAATAATGTATTTTTTGATGATTTTTTGACCGTGTTGAGTGAAATTTTTTGAGAGAGAATTTTTTCAAGTTTCTGGTATCTTATCTTACTTGAAATTTTTCTCAGGGGCGCGAGTTATCTCCCATATCTCATTCAATATCTATTATTTTCATGAGTCGTATTTCAGGAAGTTTGTTGTTGCAGAGGGTGGCAATACCGGAGGCCTCGTATTCGGAATTCCCTTGACACAATGCGTGGAGAACGACAGACTGACAAGGGCTGCAGCGAGGACTAGTCCCTTGCTTTCCGGGGAAGAACCGGCGACTATAGGAAGACACGGGTCAAGATCCAGCTTTAGTTCCTTAATTGACGCGCCTCGAGGTGACGAGGTAATCCCCATTCCCATTAATTTAATCCCCAAAACCGGGATTTTTAAATAAAGCTTCAAACGTTCCTTGGCATGGACGCAAATGCTTATTACACAAGGCGACAAAAAAAGTCATGACAACTTGACAAATTTTATATCATTTTCTTCGTCTCAGTAAAACAAATCAAATGCACTAAAAAAAATTTCAAAAAGTCCACACACTTTGAACTAAATATTTTTTTTTCTAATTTAAATGAATTTAAAATACTTTAACTTTAAAAAATCATTACTCAATAACTATTAGGCCGATTTCGTTCAAATAAATACCATCCTAAAGGGATGGACTTGCCCTTTAGACTGATATGCAATTTGAAATTGAATATTGGCAAACTTGTTCGAAGAAGTTCGAAGTATCGAAGTAATCTAAGAAAAAGCTCACGAGTAATTTTTTTTCTTCGTCAGAATCGTGTAGAGCATCTTTTTATTAGTAAGAATCCAAATTTTTAAAATAATATACCGAGTAGTTTTTCAGATATGATTTTTTGAAGTTAAGGTTTGCTATTCAGGTATTGCGCCATATAGGAGAAATACATGTTAATCTTACTTAAAATTGTATTTTTATAAAAGTATTTGTTTTAAGGCTCTTCTTTTGCCTAAAAATGGTCAATTGTTCTAATTACAATAAACAAAAACTGTTTCTTTACTTAAAACAAACAAAAAGTATCTGCGTACTCATTAAAGCAAATAAAGAGTTTTTTTGTTCTAAAAATGATCACTGATCATTGAGCAAAAAGGATATAGAAGTTTAAAGCAGTAGCTTTAAATATAAGAACAAATCTTTTTCAAATTAAATCACTTCCATTCGGATTCCAACTTGTTCACTTTGTTCTAGCTTTCTGAACTTTTTTTTGAAATGTTTTCAGCAAATGCTTTTTACTGATGTTGAATGCAACAAAGTCGAAATCAGAATGAAAAGTGATTTGATTTGAAAAAGATTTGCCCTTATATTTAAGACTCGTGCCTTAAACTTCTAGATCCTCTTTGCTCAATGATCAGTGGTCATTTTTACAACAAAAAAACTCTTTATTTGCTTTAATTAGTACGCAGGTACTCTTTATTTGTTTAAAGTAAACAAACAGTTTTTGTTTATTCTAATTAGAACAAAGAAGATGCAATTGACCATTTTTAAGCAAAACAAATACTTTTATAAAAATGCAATTTCTCCTATATGGAGCAATGCTTGATTAGCAAACATTAACTTCAAAAAATCATATTTTGAAAACTACTCGGTATATTTTTTTGAAAATTTGGATTACAACTAATAAAGAGATGCTCTACACGATGGTAATGATGAAAAAAAATATTTGTAGGGTTTTTCTTAGATTACTTCGAACACTGTTCGAAGAAAAGTTTGCCAATATTCAATTTCAAATTTTATATCATCGTAAAGGGATATTAAAATGATTTTAATTTGAAGGAAATCGACCTAGTAGTTATTGGGTAATGATTTTTTAAAGTTAAAGTATTAGGCAATTAATTAGATCAAAATTGACAATAATTTGTTTAATATCGAAAGATTTAGCTTGTTTTTGAGTAATGACGTGTTTCAGGTCCAGAACAAGGCAAAAATAATGTCATTTTTGGTAGTATTTAACACAATTTTTGCGAATAAACTCGAAATAATCTAAAATAGAGTAATTTTGTAATAAACTTTGATCATTTTTGGCTTATTTTGACAATATCTTGAGGAATACACGAGTTCCTCGATCAAATTTAGTCATTTTTTGGCTCGTTTTAGCGAAATCTTGTAAAAATAAGTTTTTGGCTTAAAAACGTGTAAGTGTTTGAAAATGGCAAAAATAATAACATTTTTTTTAAATCCAATTTGGTGTTTTTTTGGGGAATTTATTGAAAATTTGCGTTTTTGATTGAAAAGCATGTCAAAAGGCTCAATAAAGACAACAGTAATGTTATTTTTCAGTTAGTTTAGTGATTTTTCGAGATACTTTGGCGATTTTTTTGGCTTTTGAGCAAAATATATGATAAAAAATTGCAAAATCTCGTTAAAAAACTGTTTATTCCTCAGAAACGTGTTTAAAGTCTCAAAAAAGGCAAAAATAATGTTATTTTTTAATTAATTTAATGATTTTTCCACATATTTGGAGTAAAACACAATATGAAACTTTTAAGGAAATTGGCGTTTTTTACCTTGTTTCTCTCAATTGCAATGAACAAGAAAGTCACTCATTTGACAGGTTTTTGTCAAAACATGGGTTAAAAGTCGAAAAATAATAGACGAAAATTGACCTGTTTTGAGAAATTTTGCTCATGTTTAGGCAAGATTTTGTAAAAAAAGACGTAAACCCAACAAAATGTATCAAAATTAACGTTATTTTATACTGTTCTGAAAGATTTAGCTTGTTTATGGAGCAATGCTTGATTAGCAAACCTTAACTTCAAAAAATCATATTTTAAAAACTACTCGGTATATTATTTTAAAAATTTGGATTCTCACTAATAAAAAGATGCTCTACACGATGGTGACAAAGAAAAAAAATACTCGTAGTGTTTTTCTAAGATTACTTCGCTTTACTTCGAACTTCTTCGAACACAGTTCTAAGAAAAGTTTGCCAATATTCAATTTCAAATTTTATATCATTCTAAAGAACAAGGCCATCCCTTTAGAATGGTCTTTATTTGAAGGAAATCGGCCTAATAATTATTGAGTAATGATTTTTTAAAGTTAAAGTATTTTAAATTCATTTAAATTAGAAATTTTTTTAGTGCCTTTGATTTGTCTCACTGAGACGAACAAAATGATATAAAATTTGTCAAGTTGTCACGACATGACTTTTTGTCGCCTTGTGTTATTGTACAATTTTCTCGCTTAATTTCTAATTAGAACGAAGAGTTTTTTTTGTGGAAAATTCCTGCAAGAGTTTCCCGTACGTGTTTACCAAACTCCATCACGCAGCTGTCGTTGTTCCATTTGGTTTTCGTGCTAATAAATCTCAATGTTGGTGTAAAATACTGGGACTTTGATTAGTTTCTGCCCCACATACCTGTTCAAGCTATACTTAGCTCGGCAAACCTATACATAGCTGTTGATTTTGGTTTTTGTGACATTTTTCTTAAACACAAGCGAGGTATAAATAATTTTCCTGCAAGGATTTCACCTTGGACGTATTTTTTACTTTTAAGCTTCATTTACATCGTCTGACGTGTAATGTTTGCCTTGACCGTGTCAGAGAATCAAAAAATAAGCACATTTGGAACAGTTGCTGTTTTCATTCCTGAAACGCACTGAAATTCGAAGACAGTTTCACTTAATCGCTGAACTGAATGTGAAACAGCTCCCTACGTGTGAAAAATAGACACACAATTGCAAAAATAACGCTAGTTTTGGCCTAATTTGATAAATTTTCGGTCGGTTTGAACGAAATTTTGCAAAGTGGTTCTGTTTCTGATTGTAAAACGTACTAAAACGCTCCGTAAAAGGTCAAAATAATGTGTTTTTTGACAATTTTTGACCTTGTTGAATTAAGTTAAAAAAACTCGATAAAGGCGAAAATAATAACTTGATTTGGGATTTTTTTGTTCGTTTTGGCATAATTTTGCAAAAAACTGAGATTTTAGTTTTTAGTTGAGCCTAAAGGGTTAAAAAAGTAAAGTCACCATTTTCAACCAAACTTCGAGTTTTTTGTATTATTTTTTTTACCAAATTGCACTCAAAAACGAGTTAAATCAAATGAAATAAACAAAATAACATTAATTTGGATTTAATTTTGTAGTTTTTAGACTTGTTTTGACAATTTCCAAAAAATTAAATAAGTCTCTGGTTCAAAAACGAACTAAACCGAGCGAAACAAGCTAAAATAATATCAGTTTCAATATAATTTGGTACTTTTTTATTTAGTTTTAGCAAAAATTTGTATTTTAAAAACGTTTTTACACTTTTAACTGCAAAATAACACTAATTTTAGCCTAATTTGGTAAATTTTTGATTTGTTTTTAATGATATTTTGCAAAATTGTTTTGTTTCTGGCTGAAAAACGTACTCCGAAAAAAAGCCAAAATAATATATTCTTCATAAAAGCAAAAATAATGATTTGATTTGGTGTTTTTTTTGGTTTGCTTTAGCAAAATCTTCTAAAAAAACTGGGATTTTAATTCAAAAAAATTCAAAAATGTACCCAAAATCCTCATTTTCGACCAAATTTCGTGTTTATCGTATAATTAAAAAAAAAATTGACTCAAAAAGAGCTAAATCGAATGAAAAAAAACATTTAATTTTGGCAAAAATTTGTATTTCAAACACTAGTTTTAGCCTAATTTGGTAGTTTTTTGGTTTGTTTGTAAAAAATGGCTCAGTTTCTGACTGAAAAACGTCCTAGAACGCTCCATAGAGTCCAAAATAATGTATTTTTTAACGACTTTTTGACTTTGTTGTCTGAAATCTCACAAAAAAAAAACAAATAAAATTTTGCAGAATGCTTAAAAAATGTAAAAATAGTGTGATTTTTTGAGCTTGTTGAGTGAAATCGGATAAAAAAAGGGATGAAACTATTTCTTGATTTTACGACTTAATTTGCAAAATGCCTAATAATTTCTAAAAAAACATTCTCGAATCCAATAGGATTTGACCTTCGTTTTTTTACGTTTTTACCTATTAACATGCTAAAATACTTTATAAAGACAAAAATAATGGTTCGATTTGGTGTTTTTTTTCTTTGTTTCAGCAAAATCTTCCATAAAACTAAGATTTTAGTTTAAAAACGTGTCTAGAAAGATAAAGTAACATAATTTTCGACCAAATTTCGTGTGTTTCCTATTATTTTTTGTAAAAATTTTACTCAAAATTAAGCTAAATCAAATAAAACAAAGCAAATAACATTAATTTAGATTTATTTTTGTAATTTTTAGCTAAAATAATATCAATTTGATAATTTTTCAGTTAGTTTCAGCAAAAATTTGTATTTTAGCCACGAGTTTTAGTTTAATTTGGTGAATTTTCGGTTTGGTTTTAACGAAATTTTGCCAAATCGTTCTGTTTCTGGCCGAAAAACGTACTAAAACGTTCCGAAAAAGGGCAAAATAATGTATTTTTTGACAATTGAGTGAAATTTCATAAAAAACTAAAAAAAACTATTTCTTGATTTTTCAACTTATTTTGCGAAATGCCCAATAATTTCGACAATACATTTACCAATTCGATTTTTGTTTTTGACTAAATCTTGCAAAAAAATTTTTTTCTTGAAAAAAATGCTAAAACACTGAAAAACGTAGTAAAAATAATCCACACATTTGGGACGGTTGCAGTTTTCATTCCTGAAACGCACTGAAATTCTAATCCAATCTGACTCAATCTTTGAACTGAATGTAAAACGTGTGAAAAATAGACACACAATTGTTTATTTTGTCTAAAACTAAAAATAGATTGAAAAAATTCGTCCAAAATTTGGTCCGTCACCGCTGTTACATCACCGTCTTGACGTCAGACTTGGCAAGAATAATTTTTGCATTCCAGAGCGGCTCCTGCGAGAGCTTAATGTTACGCGAGAGGATCGTAGGAAGCGTCCCTGGCTTACTCGACACCCTCTCCTGCGGCTCCACCAGCGACCTTCCGCACGAAGAGGAAGCTTCCGTCCCTAACATCCTCAGCGAGTGTTTCCGTCATCTCGAACAGCACGGGTTGCACACTTTAGGTATAGAGGCTGTCCCAAAACTTCGTATTTCTTCGACTACTCTCACAGTAAAGAAAAGTTGCAAAAGATTGATTGTAAATTGTTTGTATTCACTTTTTCTCTCTAGCAAAACCGTTGTGATTTTTCAAAAATGGCACTTTTTTTCATAAAATTACCCATAAAAAATAAGTGGTCCATAATAGACCCATAAAACCTAATATGGATATTCTTAGACTTCAAAACCCTTTCAAATAAGCCCATAATATACCGGGTGTTCCATAAGAAAAAATATAACTTTGTTGCGCCACCCTATATACGAATTACCTATAATGACGAAAATATTTTTGGACTATAGAAAAAATAAATGTCCATCGTCCAAAAGAAACCGCATTTCGTTATCTTCTTTAATGTCAGAGTAATCGAAGAAATTCGGAGCTCTGGGTCACCCTGTATTTTACAGAAAAATATTTCAAAAATTCTATATGTCAAAAAATTTGATATTTGACGTTTTTGTTTCTTTTTTAATAATTAAACAGTCATTTTCCAATAGAAATAAGTGGAAAAGTGTAAATTTTACCGATTTTTGATCCAAAAACGGATTTAATACCAATATAGAGTGATTCTAAAACTGAAAATTTCTGAAAAAATCTTGAAACAATAAATACTATTTAATAATCTATACATATAACCAGTTTTAGTGAAAAAACTTGAAATGTACTGGGTGAATCAGTTGAGATGGCTAACATTCTAGATTTGTTCAAAAATTAAATCGTCCAAAACCCAAAAAGAGTCTTGAAATAATTAAAAACTTTAATGTTTAATCACTCTGTACATAATTTTTGTTTTGATAGTACTTATTCTTATCGACACAAGAATTAACATGTTTTGTTAAGACATTTTTACTGAATCAATTTTGATGAAAAAATAACAAATGTCTTGAAAAATACGTAAAGGGTGATTTGGGTGAGATGACGCTATAGTAAATCTCTGTTGAAGTATTGAAAATCGATGCAACAAAGTAGCAAAAGTTTTGACAGTGAGACTTAATTAGTGAATCACTCTGTATAGTTTGGTGAACAGAAATGTTTTACACTTCTTCGCTTTTGTCCCCCAACCACTTAATTCCCCAACATCCCCTATGAAAAAAAATCTGATTATTCTTAATCCTTGTCCTAGTTGAAACCTTTGAAGTCGCTTCGAAATAAAATAGTTCAAAAATAGTACTTTTTTTTTCATAAAATTGCCCATAAATGATAAACGGTCCATGATAGACCCATAGAACCTAATATGGATATTCTTAGAATTCAAAACTCTTTCAAATAAGCGCATAATATACCAGGTGTTCCATAAGAAAAAATATAACTTTGTTGCGCCACCCTATATACGAATTACCTATAATGACGAAAATATTTTAGGATTATAGAAAAAATAAATGTCCATCGTCCAAAAGAAACCGCATTTCGTTATCTTCTTTACTGTCAAAGAAATCGAAGAAATACGGAGCTCTGGGTCACCCTGTATTTTTTAAACGAGAAGTATTTTTGATCAGTAAAAATAATAAATGCACAGTAGAAATAATAAATTCACAGTAAAGACAATGAATGAATGTCTGCTTTATAATTAATTTTTTCAAAAAATTTTTTTACATAAATTGCAATTTTGACAAATAAAATCGCATAACTCAAAAACAAAACAAAATTTCGTTCTGAAAATACGATCACATTTTTTATATTACTTTAATTTATATTAATTATTATTTTCTGGAGGGAAATGATTAAAAATAAAACCGCTTGGTTCCATACTTTATATTCACCCTGTATACCACCGTCTAATAATAATATACAGCTTAGTTACATGCTTAGTTTTAAAAATAAGAGGTTTTTTTTACGAAAACATGCACTTTTAAAAAATTTATTACACAAAAACTAAGACAGCTAAAACAAATTTTTCTTACTTCTGCAAAGAAGAAAGTACAGAATTTAAAGCTATAGCAATTTTTTAATGTTTTGCATTTGTAAAGATTAATAAATTAAGAAGTTTGTTAAAAGTGAAATAACTTAAAAAATTTAAATGGAATACTATTTTTTATTTTTCCATCTAATAGATTGATAAATTGTCTATCTAAAAAAATAAATTTTTGATGTCTAGAATTGATAAATGAAAAGATGTCCTATGTCCTATACAATTTTTTTTTAATTTTACCATTTAAAGGTCACTAATGGACTTTTTCAACTCGCTACGACACCTTGTATATGCAGTAATATAAAAATAAATACCAGTAATAAACAACATTATTATTGATGACACTTGTGGAAAGCTGAAATTCGAAAAAGTGTAGTTGGTTTGAAGAACATTGAGAATTTTTTTTTTTTTTGAGTGGTAATAAATCAGTTGGTTTCTTATACTTTTAGGCAAATGTGTATTTAGAAAATCACAAAAATTTATTAACCTATTAACTGGATTTTTTATTATTGATGATAATGACACTTGTGGAAAGTTGCAATATAAAAATGATTAAAAATTGTGGCTTMTTTAAAAATGTTGAGAATAAAGCAATACTAGACCGAATTTTGACAAAATCTCTCGAATTTAGTGAGTGAAACGTTCCGAGATTTTATCAAAATATGCGAAAATAACGCAGACTTCATTTTGTAATTTTTTATTGTTCTAACATAATTTGCTATAAGTCTATAGAAAAAAAAAAAAAAAACAAAAACTACGCATCTAAAAGTCTAAAAGTTTGCAATTTCTTACTTTCTTTTATCAAAATATTAATTTAGTGATTTTAAATTTTAAATTTTACCATTTAAAGGACTTTTTCATTTCGCTAGGACACCCTGTATATTCAGTAATATAAAAATAAATACCAGTAATAAACAACATTCTTGCGCAGGGGCCATACATTGTTATGTAACCAAGACTGAAAATTCTTTAAATTTTATGTTGGTTTACTAATTTTCATTAAAGTTATTGAGTTTATTATTTTTACTGGGCAAATTGGATTTTTTTACTGAATAAATTAAAATGAAAAACTGTGCGTGCTGTACTTAGCATTTAATAAAATAAAATATTATTTTACTGTGCAAAAATTAATTAAATACTGATGAAAATTGATTACTACCCTTTAGGTATTTTCCGCGTTAGCACATCGAAGAAGAGAATTCGACAATTGAGAGAAGACTTTGATTGTGGGAAAGAAACAACTTTAGATGACGATCAATGTCCTCATGATGTAGCAACGCTTTTGAAGGAGTTTTTGAGGGACCTTCCCGATCCGCTTCTTTGTAGAGATCTCTATCAAGCGTTCGTTCAGACACAAAGTAAGTCAAGGGTGAAGTTGAAAAGGGTGCGATTTTGTGAGTTTTATTCGAAGGGATACGCAACAGGAGACTACAGTTCGAAGCCCTTCAACATCTCATTCAACTGTTGCCGGCGACCAATAGGGACACGCTTTTTGCCCTTCTTGCGTTTCTCGCCACCGTTGCCCAGAATGCCGCCGACACCAAGGACGAGTCAGGTACAAAAAATTTCCTTGTTTTCAGGAAAACTAATTTTTTTCAGTTTGAAGAATAATCTATTTCAGGCTGAGTTTCGCAAAATCACAAAATTTATTAGTCCAGTAACTAGAACAAATTTTTATTGTGATGATTCTTGCAAAAAGTAAAAATTTTAAAATCATAAAAAATTGACACTGGTTTTCAGGAAAATTATTTTTTTTTTCTTTCTGAGTGGTGAGAAATCAGTTCGGTTCTTATAATTAACTTCAGATAAATGTGTGTCACAAATTAATAAAAATCAAAATAATTAATTCTTGCGGAAAGTTATAATTCAAAAATGATTAAAAATTGTCGCTAGTTTGAAGAACGTTGAGAATTTTTTTTTTATATTTGAGTTGTAATAAACCAGTGTTTTTTTTTATAAATAATTATTTTAGGCAAGTGTATTTAGAAAAACGCAAAAATTTACTAAATTATTAACTAGATTTTGTATTATTGATGACACTTGTGGAGAGCTGAAATTCAAAAAAGTGTTGCTGGTTTGAGGAACATTAAGAATTTTTTTTCAGGAAAACATTTTTTTTATAATTTATTTCAGGCGATTGTGTATCACAAAATAATAAAAATTTATTAACTAGATGATAATTCTTGCCGAAAAATTGTAGCTAGTTTGAAGAATGTTGAGAATTTTTTTTTCAGGAAAACATTTTTTATTTTATTTTTAGTAAGAATGGTAAAAGTGTCTTCTAATTTATTTTAGGCGAACGTGTATCACAAAATAATAAAAGTTTATTAACTAAAACAAATTTTTATTGTTGATAATTTTTGGGGAAAGTTTTCGCTGGTTTGAAGAACGTTCAAAATTATTTTTCAGGAAAAGATAATCAAAATTTTTCACTGGTTTGAAGAACGTGGAGAATTTTTTTACTGGAAAATATTTTTCGACTTTGAGTGGAATTTTTTTTTCAGGAAAACATTTTTTTTTCACTAAGAGTGGTGATAAATCAGTTGGGTTCCTATAATTTATTTTAGGCGAATGTGTATCACAATATTACAAAAATTCATTAAGATATTAATTCACAATAACAAATTTTTTTTGTTGACGGTTTTTAGGGAATGTTTTCGCTGGTTTGAAGAATTATTTTTCAGGAAAAAATAATCAAAATTTTTCACTGGTTTGAAGAACGTTGAGGATTTTTTTCTGAAGAATATTAATTTGAGTGATAATAAACTAGTTGTTTTTTATAAATAATTTATTTCAGGCAACTGAGTATTTAGAAAATCACAAAAATTTATCAATCCATTACCTAGATTTTTTATTATTGATGATGATGATACTTGTAAAAAGTTAATATCTAAAAATAATTAAAAATCTACGCTGGTTTAAAGAAAACTTTTTTTCAGGAAAACTAATTTCTTTTACTTTGAGTGGTAATAATTGCAAACAACCTGTGTCTTGGTGTAAAAATGGCTTATCTGGTTTTTTTTGTTGTAAATCCATCAAAATCAGCACAAACATTAACGCATTTTCAGATCTAATTTTGAAATTTTTTTTTACTTTTGACAATTTTTTTGAATTAGTGAGTAAACAAACTCTTTGAATTCATAAAATCAAACAAGAATAAAAAGCAATTCTATCTTGCTTTAACACAATCTTTCAAATTCACCAAATATGCGAAAAAAACGCTTTTTCAGACTTTATTTTGTGATTTTTTTAAGTTTGCAATTTTTTACTTTGATTTATCAAAATATTATACATTTATGTGTTATATTGTAACATTTTCAAAAACAAATACTCAAAATCGCAAAGCCGGACAAAACTGTCCAAAAATTTATTTTTATCTCTGAATTTTTATAGACAATTGTTTTCAAATTAACCCAAAACCGGATTTGTCTGTTTTTTTTTTCAAGAAAACTAACTTCTTTTATTTTGAGACAAATAGGTATCACAAAATCACAAAAATCCATTAAGCCACTGACTAAAACAAATTTTTCTTGTTTTGGAAAATTAAAATTCGAAAAATGTTCAAAAATTTTCGCTTTTTCAGTTGGTTTATCATATTTTTTTTTCAGGCAAATGAGTATCACTAAATAATAAAAATTTATTAATTTATTAACTAGTACTAAATTTTATTGTTGATGATTCTTGTAGAAAGATAAAATCCAAAAATAATCAAAAATTTTCTCTGGTTTGCAAAACGTTGTTTTTGAGCATTATTTTTTTACTTTGAGTGGTAATAAACCAGTTGTTTTTTTTATAAAAAAACTAGATTTTTTATTGTTGATGGCACTTGTGAAAAGTTAAAATTCAAAAATGATGTCGCTTGCTTGAAGAACATTGAGAATTGAAAACTATTTTTTTAATTTTGAGTAGTAATAATAATAAATTAGTTAGTTTTTTACAATTTATTTCAGACGCATGTGCATCGCAAAATCACAAAAATTCCTTTATCTTTTAACTAGAACAATTTTTTCTTGGAAAACTAATTTCTTTCACTTTGAGTGGTAATAAATGCAAACGAACTGTGTGTTGGTGTAAAAATGGCTTATCTGTTTTTTTGGAAAGAAAAATCACTCACTAAAAAAATCAGCGAAAACAATAACGCATTTTCAAATGTAATTTTGCAGTTTTTTTGCTTAGTTTTGACAAAATTTTTGAATCAGTAAAAATCTCGGTGGACAAACTCTTTCAATTCATAAAATAAAACAAGAATAAAGCAATACTAGACCGAATTTTAAAAATTCTATCTTCCTTTAACAAAATCTCTTAAATTTACCAAATATGCAAAAAAACGCTTTTTCAGGCTTCACTTTGTGATTTTTTCTTGTTCTAACATAATTCGCTATAAATCTATAGAAAAATAAAACGAAAACTAAACATTTTTAAGTGTAAAAGTTTGCATTTTTTTACTTTGTTTTATCAAAATATTTTAAATTTAGTGAGTTTCTTAATAAAAATGCTTTAAAATATTGACATTTTCTTAAAAAAAACTCAAAACCTCAAAGCCGGACAAACCTGGCCAAAAATTTACTTTTATCTCTAAATTTTTATAGACGATTTTTTCAACATAGTTTTCAAAAACCGGATTTGTCACTGTTTTTTTTTCAAGAAAACTAACTTCTTTCATTTTGAGCCAAATGTATATCACAAAATCACAAAAATACATTAAGCCACTGACTAGAACAAATTGTTCTTGTTTTGGAAAATTAAAATTCGAAAAATTTTCGATTTTTCAGTTTTTCAGCTTACATTTTTTTTCAGGCAAATGAGTATCACTAAATAATATAAATTCATTAATTTATTAACTAGAACTAAATTTTATTATTGATAATTCCTGTAGAAAGTTAAAATTCAAAAATAATCAAAAATTTTCTTTGGTTTGCAAAACTTTGTTTTTGAGCATTATTTTTTTACTTTGAGTGGTAATAAGCCAGTTTTTTTTAACTAGATTTTTTATTGTTGTGACACTTGTGAAAAAATGATTAAAAATTGTCGCTTGTTTGAAGAACGTTCAGAATTGAAAACTATTTTTTTTTCATTTTGAGTAGTAATAATAATAAATTAGTTGCTTTTTTTAAATATATTTCAGACGCATGTGTATCGCAAAATCACAAAAATTCCTTAATCTGGTAACTAGAACAATTTTTTCTTGTTGATGATTCTTGTTTTAAAGAATGTTGAGATTTTTTTCAGGAAAACTAATTTCTTTAAAATCTCGGGATTTTATCAGAATAAGCAAAAACAACACATTTCAGACTCTAAAACTTTGCAATTTCTTACTTTGTTTTATCAAATTATGAATTTAGTGAGTTTCTTAATAAAAACACTTTAAAACATTAACATTTTCAAAAACAAATACTCAAAATCGCAAACCGAAACTGCTTTTGTTTTTTTTCACAAAATCACAAACCTTTATTAAGCCACTAACTAAAACAGAAAAATTTTTGCTGGTTTAAAATTCATTTTTTCAGTTGTTTTTTCATAATTTTTTCAGGCGAATGTGTATCTGGGAACAAGATGGACTCCAACAACTTGGCGACAGTCTTCGCCCCCAACATCCTCCACTGCATCAAACCAGGAAGTTCAAAAGAAAGCGACCGTCCTGAAGACCGAATCGATATCATAAACGTGGTACGAACCCTAATCGACCACTACAAACAACTTTATACCATTTCGGCTGAACTTCTAGATGAAATTTATGTACACATGATGGACTCACATCCTGAAGCTTTGGACCAACTTTTGAACAAAAGAGACGCAATTTCGGGGGCTGATGAGTAAGTTGAGTGTTAAATTTGGGTGAGGACTAGGAGTACCTCCTATTCCAGGTCTGTTGAGGAGGTCGATAGTGAAAGTTATTCAGCTCCTTGGAGTCCCACAATAGAAAACGTTGACATTGAAACGAAGAAAATGTACTCGCGGGAGGAGTTTTTGCACGAAAGGGCTGCCATGGGGGGCCCCAATGTGGGTATGAGACTACGGTAAGTGTGACTGAATAGCACAGGGCGAGAAAAAAAGGGCATGTCGTGTGTGGTACATCAAATGAAAGCTGTTTTAACAAGCTTTTTAAAACTTTTTACCAAAATTGAATCAGACCATCCATTCATGAGATACAGAATTTGCAAAAAAAAACGAAACAGGTTAATTTTGTTTAAAAAAAAACACATATTTTGACACAATTTTACTAACCCTTTAACTTTTCCCACCTAATTTCGGAATTTCAAATGACACTCACTTGCGACAGATCAAGTAAAAAAAAAAATTTCAGTAATTCCTAAATAAGTTCAGTGATTTCAAAAAAAAATGACTCAAACTTTAGTATTTCCAAATTTGAACAACTTATTTCAGTTTACAAATATTACACCCCAATTTCAGCAGTTCCAAAAAAAATTCACCGAAATTCAGATTTATTTCTATAATTCCAAAAACAATTCGAATAATTTCTAAAAGATTACAACAACTAAAAATTACAGTAATTCAAAAATAATTTCAGTAACTTCAAGAAAAATTTACTCAAACTTCAGTAATTTCATTCTATCGTAACTTTCGAAATTCCAAATTCCAATAATTAAAAAAAAATCCAGTAATTTTAGAAAAATTTCAGTAATTCCTAAATAAGTTCAGTAATTTAAAAAAAAATTACTCAAACTTCAGTAATTCCAATCCCTGGTAACTTATAAAATTCCAAAGGAATTTCAACTTAATTTTCGTAATTTCAATATAATTTCTGTAATTCAGTAATTCCGATAGTTCTAAGAAATTCAACGTAATTTTCAAATAAACTTATTTCCAATAATTCCAAAAACAATTCCAATAAATTTAAAAAAATCAGTAGGTAATAAAGATATTTTCTAGGTTATAAATCTTTAGAAATCTCAGTAAATCTTAGAAAATCCTTATAATTATTAGGAGAATTTAATAAACACCAAGTCCTGAAAACCAGTGCGAGATAAACCGCTTCAATATTAAGACGATTTTAAATAAATAAAGAATTATAAATAAATCAAAATTTAAAACTTTTTGTTTTTTTTTTAAGAATTCTAAGTTATGTAGAATTTTTTTATTCATTTTCTTGAAAATGTTTATAAATAAACAACTCAAACATTTCAATTTGCTTCTTAAACCACAATTTTTATATTTTAATTTTGTTTTTTATAAACAGGGTGACTGTAAATGATTGTGATTTTTGGCGTCAGGTCGACAACTTTAAAATTAAAAATAAACTTTAAACTTAAAAATAACAATCACAGAGTTTTTATCTCATTTTGAATATTTGTAAGGGATTACAAAATTCAATAGTTTTTTTTATTTTTTATGAAAAAACTTTAGTTGAAATTGCATAAAAAAATACAGTAACATAAGTAGGTAATCTGCAATACGCTAAAAATAAATTAAAAACATTTTTCGTACAGATTTATAATATAATTTCTGTAATTATAAAGTAATTCCGGTAGTTCTAAGAAATTCAACGTAATTTTCAAATAAAATTATTTCCAATAATTCCAAAAACAATTCTAAATTTAAAAAAATCAGTAGGTAATAAAGACATTTTCTATGTTATAAATCTTTAGAAATCTCAGTAAATCTTACAAAATCCTTATAATTATTAGGAGAATTTAATAAACACCAAGTCCTGAAAACCAGTGCGAGCGAAACCGCTTCAATATTAAGACGATTTTAAATAAATAAAGAATTATAAATAAATCAAAGTTTAAAACTTTTTTTTTTAAGAATTCTAAATTATGTAGAATTTTTTTATTAATTTTCTTGAAAATGTTTATAAATAAACAACTCAAACGTTTCAATTTGCTTCTTAAACCATAATTTCTATATTTTAATTTTGTTTTTTATAAACAGGGTGACTGTAAATGATTGCGATTTTTGGCGTCAGGTTGACAACTTTAAAATTAAAAATAAACTTTAAACTTAAAAATAACAATCACAGAGTTTTTATCTCATTTTGAATATTTGTAAGGGATTACAAAAATCAATAGTGTTTTTTTTTTATTTTTTATGAAAAAACTTTAGTTGAAATTGCATAAAAAAATACAGTAACAACAAGTAGGTAACATGCAATAGGCTAAAAAAAATTAAATTTTTTTTTCGTACAGATTTTAAAAAAATAGCCACAAATGGAGATTTTTTTAATTTATTTTTAAACGACACGCACAAAAAATTTCAAATTGATACTTTATATATTGCTGCTAAGGCCATCAAAAAGTTATATTTTTTTCAGAATTTTTAACTACGATTAATTTTTTATTCACCACAGTTCGTCAAAAGTTCAAACATTTTCACATATTATTAGAAAAATTATTAATAAAATAAATCTTCTCAAAATTAAATCGAAACTCGACACTCAGGAAACAACAGTAAAACAGATTTTTGATATTTCAAGAAAAACTCATTTTTTTTCAATAAAGCAAAAACTTGAGAACATTTTTCATTTTTATGGTTCAGTTTTCAGAAGTTCAAAAATAATTTCTTCCGCGTGTTAACTGAGTATAAATTCACATATATAGGGTGTCCCAGTGAAAACGAGCCCCCACGAATATCTCAGAAACTAAAAAGACTTTGCAAAAACGCCAAAACAGGTCAATTGTGTTTCCGAGGGGGACATTTTTTGACGTAATTTTTTAAGCACCCCCAGTAACCCCCTAACCCCCACGCACCCCAACTTTAAAAATTTAAATAGCACTACCCTACTTGTGGCATATCAAATGAAAGCTATTTTAACAAGCTTTTCAAAACTTTTTACTAAAATTGAATCAGACTATTATCATG